AAAAAAACAAAACAGAAAAAAAAAGCCATAGGGGCAAAACAAAAAAAAGCCATAGGGGCAAATAAAAAACAAAAAAAAAAAAGCCATAGGGGCAAAGAAAAAACAAAAAAAGCCATAGGGGCAAAGAAAAAATCAAAAAAAGCCATAGGGGCAACAAAAGCAAAAAAATAAAACAGAATAATTTTGAAAAAAGCCACAGGGGCATTAAAAGAAAAGAAGCTAAAACTACAAAATTTACTTGCTTCACAAAACAAGGAAAAATGGCGTCGAGACATAACTTGTATAAGCTCCAAAGCCTACTCCTTAAAGAGGTAATTGGGATTAAGGAAAAACTGCAAGCAGGCATGGTTCGGAAAGCAGCCATGGGTGACACACTACGATCCCTGGAAAGCAAAATGAAGGAAGCCACTACGAACCACGAAATGCTGAGAGTGCATGGCGAAAACACTGATCCCTATTTCAAAGAAAATGTTTGGGATCTCATCAACTTGAACTATGGAAAAGCAAAGGAACTCCTAGCGAGTTTGGAAGAAGAGGTCGAGCGAGAACCGCAAAGGGTAATAAAAGAAGCAGAGCCCGAAGTGCATGGGCTAATGCTCGATCAACAGTTAAAGGCCTTCCAAGAGGAAATGCAACAACAGATGCAACAACAAATGCAACAATTTATGTTGATGTTCGAGAAGAATAAAAGAGAAAATGAGGAAGAAAGACAAACCCATATAGAATCATCACCAATGGGCAATCAGGCGAATATAAAAGTAAGCGCAATCATCTACCAATTCAGGAAAAAAGTAAACAAACTCGCCGATGCCGTTGAATGCGATTTAGCTGGACTATCAAAATATGCTTTGGAGTACATGAAGTCATCGTGGGAGAAGCATATGGATGAAATTAGGAAATTGCATCTCGAGCTCTCAACGGTGCATGGAATGGAAGAGGTAGATCTCGAATTTGAAGAAATTGAAGAAAAGTTTGAGAGCAAAATGCAGGATATGATAAGAAGGATAGATGGTCTTAAAGAGGAGTCACTGGAAGTAGAACTAAAAAGAGTTCAAATACCATCCTTTAGTGGTCATGTGGAAGAGTGGAGTTCATTTCACGATTTATTTAAAAAGATGATTGATGAAAACTCCAAATTATCAAAAGTTCAAAAACTGTACTACCTCAAGACAAATCTAAAAGGAGAGGCATTTCGCTTGGTGCAACATCTTCAAGTGACCGAGGCAAATTATGAAGCAGCATGGGAATTACTGGAAAAAAGATATGGCAACAGGAGAATTTTATTCACTAAATTGGTAGATAGAATACTGGACCATCAAAACATCAACAGCCTGTCAGCAATAAGCATAAGAAATTTGCTGGACAATGTAAATGAAAGTATTCAGGCGTTGAAAGCAATGGATATTCCCCTAGAGCAAGCGGATCCCATTTTAGCCCGAATAATTATACGGAAACTGGATAAGGATGGGCTTATTCTTTATGAGCAGAATGTAAAGAAATCCAAGGACATCCAAAAACTTGAGGATGTGATGGACTTCCTGGAGCAGCAGTTTCAAGCCTTGGAAGCTTCAGTAGGCAGAAAACACAATAACATAGGACTGTACAAACTCCAAGAAAAATCAGCAGTGGTAGCGGAATTAAAACAATGTAAGTTCTGTAAAATGAGCGGACATGATATCGCATGGTGCAGAAAATTTTCGGCGTTATCTTCGAATGAAAGATACAATTGGGCAAGATCAGCACAGGTCTGCCTCAGATGCTTAAGCCACAACAAGGATAAAAAATGTTACAATGAAATTAAATGCCAGAAGTGTGGAATGAATCACATCACAGTGATGCATTTAGAGCGAAGAGGACATACGAAAGCAAGGACCACCAATACAACAACAAATGTTCTGCTAGCAACAGCCCAAGTTCGTATAAAATCACTGCAAGGAGAATTTGTAACAGTCAAAGCGCTGATAGACCAAGGATCACAAATTACATCCATATCAGAGGACGCGGCTCAACTGTTGCAGCTACCAAGGAAGAAGACAGAAGTGAGGTTACAAGGTCTAGGAGAGACCCTAGTTGGCGTGGCGAAATCTAAAGTTGCACTGGAACTACGACCCAGATTTTTGAGCAACATAATGATTAAGGCAGAAGCACTAGTCCTTCCAGCACTTGCATCAGCACATCCCGACAGAAGGTTTCAATATGACGTGGATAAATGGAGAAATGTAAATTTGGCAGATCCAAATTTCAACAGCCCGGAAAGAATCGATTTAGTCATTGGAGCCGATCTTTACTCACAAATATTGGAAGAAGGAGTTCGCCACGATGAGCAAATTGTGGGACAAAATACGAAGTTGGGTTGGATTTTATCTGGAACAGTAGTAGTAAATCCTGGATTGAACATAAAGAAATCGGCAGCAACAACAACAATTGAGAGGTTCTGGGAAATAGAGGAAATAGAAGATGAAAAAACGACCGAAGAAGACGAATACTGCCTTAAGTTATATGAAGACACAACACGCCGAGACAATTCAGGAAGATTTGTCGTGCGTTTGCCGTTAATTGAAGAAAAAGATTTGGGAGATTCATATAAAAGAGCCATGGCGAGGTTTATAAACTTGGAAAAAAGATTAGAAAATAATGCGGAATTAAAGTCAGAGTACGAGAAAACAATGAACGAGCTCATATCCATGGGCCAAATGGTAAAGGTGGATCCAAGTAAGAAGGCTTTGTATTATATGCCGCACCAAGCAGTGGTACGTGAAACAAGTCTAACCACAAAAGTTAGAGTGGTATTTGATGCTTCATCGACAACTTCAAATGGGAAGTCGCTGAATGACATACTTCACGTGGGACCAAGGCTTCAAAAAGATATATTTGACATTGTAACAAAGTGGAGATCGTGGAAGTTTGTCATCTCAGCTGATGTGGAGAAAATGTTTCGTCAGATTAAAGTTGAAAAAGAAGACCAGGAATACCAACATGTGTTGTGGAGGAGTAATCCGTCGGAGCCTATCCAACAATATAAACTTACTACGGTAACATATGGCACTGCATCAGCACCATTTCTGGCTGTAAGATCGCTCATAGAAATTGGAAATAGGTGCCAGAATCAAGAAATCGCTCAGAGGATCAAAGAAGATTTCTACATGGACGACCTTTTAACAGGAGCGAATACAAAACAAGAATGCAGGGAGGTGCAGAAGAAGATAACGCTGCAACTGGAGGATTATGGGTTTCATTTAAGAAAATGGATATCAAACTCTCCTGAAGTATTGAGTGCGGTGAAATTGAATGAAGAAAATGAAGTGCTGAGAATAGAAGAAGATGAATGCTTGAAAACATTGGGATTACAATGGAATCCACAGATCGATTGCTTTACATTTAGTATGCAAATTAAAAAAGAAGACAAGTTGACAAAACGAATAGCATTGTCAAGACTGGCACAAATATTCGATCCATTAGGTTGGCTGACGCCAGTCACGGTAACAGCAAAACTATTTATACAGCAGTTATGGATACAACAAATAGAATGGGATGTGCCATTGGAGGAGAAATTGAGTGGAGATTGGCGGCAGTTTACATACAGTCTGCCTGCTTTAGAAAATTTAAGGATTCCAAGATGGTTTGGAATATTGGAAGACAAAACTGCACAGTTACATGGGTTTGCAGATGCTTCCGAGAAGGCTTATGCAGCAGTCGTATACCTTAAGGTAAATTCGCAGGTGACCATAGTGGCTGCAAAAAGTAAGGTAAATCCAGTAAAAAATAGGAAGACGCTTCCAAAGCTGGAACTTTGTGCAACACATCTATTGGCTAAACTACTACAGAAGATCAAAGGAGTATTGAAGTCAGCAACACCAACTTTTGCTTGGAGTGATTCCATGATTTCCTTGGCATGGATTCACAACTCCAAAAACAAGGATAAGTTCATAAAAACAAGGGTGATGGATATTTTGGAGAGAATACCCGAAGCGAAATGGGGCTACGTCAAGTCAAAGGAGAATCCAGCAGATATGGGTTCAAGGGGTGTCCCACCGGAGACTTTGACAAACAATACATTGTGGTGGGAAGGCCCCGAATGGCTGAAAAAAGATGAACAAGATTGGCCAAAAAGCAACATAAATCAAACAGTAGCAACAACAGTAAAGTTTTCGACTGAAAACCACTTATATGAAAGTATGATGAAGTATTCGTCATTTAAGAAACAGATACGTGTAATGGCTTATCTACTGCGTTTTATAAAAGGGCTAAAAAAGAAGCGAGCAGTAAATGAGCATTTGACGGCAAAAGAGTTGGAAGAAGCAGAGATGGAGATAATAAAACTACATCAAGAAAGAGAATGGCCAGTGGAACTAAGGAAATTGAAGACATTGGGAACGGTGGATCATCAAAGTAAAATAGCTTCACTACATCCACAGTTGGATCGAAATGGCATAATGCGGGTTGGTGGAAGACTTGCTTTGTCAGAGCTGAACTATAACCAAAAGCATCCAATAATTATTCAAAAGTCAAGATTAGCGGGAAATATCATTCGAAATTGTCATATTCAAACGATGCATGGAGGAAATCGACTTATGGAAAATATACTAAGACGAAAATATTGGATTATTGGAGCTAAAAATAGGATAAAACTTTGCATTAGGTGTTGTCCAAGATGTACGCGCTTTAGAGGTGAAGTGCGAAATCAATTGATGGGAAATTTACCAGCTTACCGTGTCAGTATAAATCAACCCTTTCAACACTGTGGCATTGATTATGCGGGTCCGCTACAAATACGGTGCTCCAAAACAAGAGGAGTGAAGGCTATGAAGGGTTACGTAGCGGTGTTCGTATGCATGGTAACTAAGGCGGTTCATTTGGAAGCTGTCAGCGGACTTACAACGGAAGCATTTCTGGCGGCGCTAAGGCGATTTTTCGCGAGAAGAGGAAAATCAACCGACTTATATTCAGACAACGGAACGAACTTCGTAGGGGCAGCAAGGCAGCTTGACAGAGACTTTTGGATGCCGTTAAAAACAACACGAAGTTAGCTCCCATTTTGGAAAATGAAAAAATAAGTTGGCATTTCATTCCGCCGGCAGCTCCTCACGTTGGAGGAATTTGGGAAGCAGCAGTGAAGTCCATGAAATATCACCTAAAAAGAATAATTGGTGATACGAAATTGACTTACGAGGAGTTGAGTACGGTGCTATCTCAGATTGAAGCAGTATTAAATTCGAGGCCGCTACATGAACTTGGAAGCGGTACAGAATATATTGACACTTTAACACCTGGACATTTCTTAATTGGCCGTCCGATGTTAGAATCACCGGCGACTATCGATGAAGGTAACTTAGGATGTCTTAATAGATGGAAACTGCTACAACGAATTAAAAGTCATTTTTGGAGCAGATGGAAAGAGGAGTATCTAACCACATTACAAAACCGAATGAAATGGAAGAAACAAAATAATAATGTGGAAATAGGCAATGTGGTGATATTGAAAAACGAAGAAACGCACGCGGCGCGATGGCCACTGGCCAAGGTGGTAGAAGTCCATCCAGGGAAGGACGGAGTTGTAAGGATTGTGACAGTTAAAACACAAGACGGCGTGATAAAGAGGCCAATTAACAAATTATGTCCATTGGAGCATATGGACGAGGAATCTGAAGAATTGCCCAGACAGGAAAAACAGGCGGAAATTACACATACTAATATGACAAGATGTGAGCGAAAAATAAGGAAACAACCAATAACGTGGGCAATGATGCTGAACTTATTTTTACTAATATCTACCAAGGCATCATCTGTACATGAACTGAATAGTTCGGCTGCGGTATATTTGGATCCCATGTCTCAAATTCACATGGTTTCCTCATCATGGAATATGGTTGTGTACTTTGAGCTGAAACCATATTTAGAAACATTAGACCTGGCTTCCGAATTGCTGAAAACATCAAAAAGCTTATGCCCACGACTTCAAACTTTTGAGGAGCAGTGTTGGTCCACGATTAACAATATGGAACTCAAGATTAATAAGATAAAGACCAACAATCGATTATTCCTCAGAGAAGACAATCGTCAAAAAAGAGGAGCTCCGTTGAAATTTGTAGGTTCGTTTCAACACTGGGCATTTGGGGTAATGGACGATGACGATCGAGTAGCTATGGAGAGCAATATGAAAAATCTATTAGCCAACCAAAAGGATTTGAAGAAGTTAGCAAAACAACAGACATCTGTAGTCGACGCTACAGTAAATCTTTTAAGGAAAACCACAGAGGAAGTGAATTCGCACTTTTCGGATATCAAAGGCAAAATTGAGAACATAAGTGCTACAATGAATGAGAATTACTTCGTGTATAGAGAATCCATACGATTCTTTATAATAGCAAAACAAATTCATGAGCTTTTGGAAGAATGTGACGAAGTCCAAAAAGAAGTTGTTGATGCATTAATTGATGTAAACAGCGGTAAGTTTCATCCCGTCCTGATAACACCCAAACAATTACAAGCAGAGATAGTAAAAATACGAGATGCTCTGCCTGAAAAATATGTACTGCCAGGAAAGCGTACGGGAATGGAATTAAAAGAGATCTTACATTTGATGACGTGCCACGGATCGTTTGTGGGGTCCCAACTGGTAATTAATATAAAAATACCGCTGTTCAATCGGCAGTCATCCCAGTTTTACAAAGTAATTCCGATACCATTTGAAGAAGGAAATACGATATTGATAGCCCGGGTGAATTCCCCGTACATTGTATATAATTTTGAGCTGGATTCTTTTCATTTCTTAACACAGCCTATGCTGAATGAGTGCAAAGAGACGTTGGGTAAGGAGATAATGTGCGAAGAGAATTTTCCATGGAGAGATGCAACTACAAATAATTGTGAATTATCTCCTCTGAGACCGCACATAAAACTAAACTGCGCCTATGACGAAGTGGAACGAATGCCTTATTGGATGCCATTGAAACGAAATGGCAATTGGCTTTTTAAAACCTTTTCAAGTGCAACAGCTCATTTGCAATGCTCTCACAAACAACAGACGATTATGGAACTTCCAAAGCAAGGAATTCTCACGCTGGATGCAGACTGTACAGCGAGGATCGGTAAAGTAACGTTGGTAGCTGTGCATAGAGTTCATAACGAGATAAGCACAGAATTCCATTCGTTTCTTTTGAAGGATGTAAGTCCGGACGAAAAAGAATCAATCAAACCCCTTGGAAATATACTTATCAATCATCATCAAGAAATTGACGAGCTAAAGAAATTCGTGGACAAGTTAAAGAAAGAAAATGTGGAATTGCGAGGCTTGAAGTTCCATCACATCTCATCACACGTAGCTTTTATTTTAGTAATTATAGTAATAATAATTCTAATTATTTTATTTATAAGAAGACAGAAAAAATTAAAACGCATAACCGAAATTCAATTTCCCCGAGGCCAGGATGTCTAAATAAATTATTTGCCGCCCGGGAAAATGTTCATAAAACTATGAACATGAAAGACTGCTGCAATAAATTAGATCGTTAAGTGATTTAGGCTATAAAATGTTTATGTAATTTTAACCCAACATTCTAGAGTACTTGTAAATGTGTGTGCATGAAAGATAAGAGCATAAGGGATGATAACACTTCATGCTGCTGGAGACGCATTGATAATAAAGAATATTCTCCCATAAACATGCGCTCAGCTGGGGAGTAAATATAGATCACAGCAATTGTGTGTTGCATTAGGCCTATGCATAGAATTAGAAATGTCAAGTGTTTGTAGCCTTAAGTAGATGCATAAGATTAAACCCCCCTAAGATTTCTGTTGTGTACTAGCACTTAAGTAATACATTTTGTTCAATAAAATTAGAATTAAACTGACAAACGAACAAACAAGTTCTAGAATTTGATTCTCCCGCTAACATAGGGTTTACGATTTTGAAAAACAAAACGCTCAAAGAAAGCGAAATAAGCATCCAACTCTCTACAAATTTCACACTTACAAACATTTTTGCTTACACAATGTCTGTTATAAGGATGATATATATTTATGAACCCCTTCTGGTACCTCACCCACAAAGGATCACAATTTTCAATATTTTTTTTACCCTCCACCATATATTAAGTTTGTCATTCCGTTTGTAACACCTCGAAATATACATTTTAGATCCCACAAAGTATTTATATTCTTGATCTGCATAAAATTCTATGGCGATTTAGGGATGTCCGTCCATCTGTGGAAATCACACTAGCTTCCGAACGAAATGAAGTAGGTTCATCAAATTTTACTCAAATGTGTATTATGTCTGCAGGACTTTTGGTATTGAAAATGAGTGATGTAGGTCTACGTTTTGGTATAGCACCCATATAACGGTACCTCCCGATATTCGGTATTTTGATGATTTCAGCGACATTATTCACCGGAATTGTTTCAAATTTGGTGTTTGAAGTTCCAAATGGATACTTCAGCCTATGACGGAAAATTGTCTGTGAAGGTTCACGTCTTCGTATGACCCCCATATAACAGTACCTCCCGATATTCGGTATTTTGATAATTTTAGGGACATTTTCCACCGGAATTCTTCCAAATTTGGAATTTGAAGTTCGTAATGGATACCACAGCCCATTACAAAAAATTGTCTTCGTCTTGGTATAGCCCTCCTATAAAGGTACCTCCCTATATTCGGAATTTTAATGATTTTAGCTACATTATTCACTGATTTTTTTTATTCAAGTTTCGAATTTGAATATTGTAATGGCTTATGACAAAAGTTGTCTATGCTGGTTCACGTCGTCGTATAGACGCTAAAATAATGGCTACATTCGGTATATTTAAGATTTTAAGAGAATTTTTAACGGATTTTATTTTTTGAAAATTGCCAAAATCGTTTCAAATGATAGAGGGTATTCAAAGATCGGCCCGCTTTTTTACTTGTTATCTGTCATAACTTGCGAATCAAGTCGGCGATTCTTTACAACTTGCTATATCTAAACCAGAAATCTGAAATGAAAATGGAATTTATGATTTCGCCCATACCAATATTTTTATCTGTATTCGATGAAGTATGAAAATGGAATACTTTGGTCGACTACGTCTGATAACTCAAACACATTTTAACATTTTTCAAAAATTATAACAAATCTCACATAAAGTGAAGGAAGTAGTCGATATAGTCCAAACCTGACACGTCGCAATATTTATATCATATTTATTTAGGCCCGATACGAAATGGACAATAATGGCCATTTCTTCGGAACCTATTCCATAGAGGGTCAACAATTTGAATAACCATAACATAAGTCAAAAGATATTTAAATAATCGAACATTGGGTGAGAGTATACATCTGTCCGCAAAACCGACTGATTCTTTTTAACTTGTTTTAATTGAAATGAAGGTTTTAGCTCGACACATAGTGGTAAGCGTATTATGTCTTTGTGCATTTGTTTGTAACATGGAGAAGGAGGCGAGATATTCATAGAATCACTTCCTGAGACGATTTATGCATGTCTGTCTGTTCGTCCATCCGTCTGTCCATGTATTCTTGTGAACAAAATGCAGGTCGCATTTATTATCCGTTTGAGATGAAGTTTTCCAACCAATATTTGTTTGACCCAAGGACGAACCCTATTGAAATTGGTGCTAATTGGATCAGATTTAGATATAGCTCCCATATATATTTTCAACCGATTTCCGGTTAATTGTGCACCAAATGGTCAATATAAGTCCAAATGACTTGAATTTTGGCACATCCAATCGAATTCAGTCTAGAAGCAAATACATCAGATTTAGTGAAAATCAGTTCAGATATAGCTATAGCTCCCATGTATATCTTTATCCGATTTTATGTTTTTTGTGCACCAAATGGCCAATATCAACCACAAAGGAGTGAATTTTTGTACTTCCGAAAGAATTTAGGCTAAATGCAAGTGCTTCAAATGTGGAGAAAATCTGTTCAGATTAAGCTATATATTCCATATATATGTTTCATCCGATTTGATGTTAAAGTCCCTAACATCCATAATATACACTCCACAACAAAGATTTTTGCACAGGACTTCAGATACAGCCTGAAAATACCTGCGACAAATTTTATGGAAATCGGTTCAGATTTTTATATGCCTTCGAAATACATCTTCATCCGATTTTACAGTTATTGCTAGCAATACAGTGAGGTGAGATGAAAAAACTGCAACCAACTTCAGACCGCTGTCATTTCTAAGCCACTCAGCTCAGGTGAAAATGTGCACCTTCGGTTTGCCACCACACATTCAAGCGACGGCCATGGTTATGGTGTGGCCGCCATAACAGCCGATGGTCGCACTCCGCTCGTATTAATCGACCGTGACATCAAAATACATGCCGAATATTGTAGGGAAAATATTCTGGAGGGTGCATTAAAGTCTTGGGCACGCAAATATCTTGGCCTTAGATCTTGGATTCCAACAGGACTCAGCACCATCGCACTCAGCATGCGCCACCCAAGAATGGTTACAAAATGAGGTTCCTCGCTTCATTTCCAGCCCACAATGGCCACAGAAATCTCCGGATACCAATCCGTTGGACTATTGTGTCTGGAGTTTTTTGAAAAGAAAGGTTGGCACTAAAAGATACCAAAGTGTCGATGAACTTAAGCAAGCGCTTCGCCGGGAATGGCCCAAAATACCGCAGAGCATCATTCGGGCAGCGTGTGACGGTTACATTAGCCGTTTGAAGGACATAATTCGTGCCAAAGGTGACAAATTCTAACAAATCTTAAATTATTCTAAAATTTGATGCTATTTCCGACATTTTGTGCTTTCATTCAATACAGCCGCAGAAAAAATGTAAAAATTATAGCGTTTGACCTTATTTTAGTTCCCATCCCATCCTGTATATTACTTTGTAGGGTCTATCATAATTATTTCGTGGAGTTACAAACGGAATGACAAAGCTAATGTGGAGGGAATAAAAACGGTTTTTGGTTCGGTTAAAGAGATTTTTTTTTAGAAAATGGTTTGGTTCTCACTACAATTCAAAACCCGTTCGATTCGGATCCGGTTTGCAGTCCAGATATATTCAGTAGACTATCATTCTAAACCGCTAGTCTAACATTTTGTCAAACTTGTATTCCACGAATAACTAATGAATTCTTTTAACTTGTAATCGCATTTCTTTCGTCCTTGAAGCAGGACGCACACACACACACGTGTGATGTGAACAAGGGAAAGTAAAATAATAAGCATTTCCCAGCCTTCAAAGCTATTTATTTCCAATGAAATTAGGCCAACCAACCAATCAAATTTCTGCCGTTTTCTTCTACTTCAAAAGCCTAATTTGATTGTCAAAGGATACCCGCATTATTTTGCGACACGAAATGCAGCCACATCGTCCTTATCGTCAATTTAAAACGTAAACTGATAAATATTTGCCTTGCTTTGAAAATTATAATGCGAAGAGAATAAAAACAACAACAACAACAACAATTTACATTTATTTAAGCACAACAAGGAAAAAAAACGAGAAGAACACCCATAAAACTATTTTATGACATGTAAAATATCCTTGAGTTCCGATTACATGTTCCACAGGGTACGCATAGACACGTACGTCGTCATGTGTGTGTGTGTGTGGATGTGGGTGCACCATTAATTATTCCATAATTTACTTGAAAGTAACTTTAGCAACCAACCTCCAAGTTGGATAGTCTTAAACTATGTGCTTGTGTAGGTGTTGTTTGAAACCGACACCAACAAAACACCTACGCATAACTATATTTGGAGCAGCCTTATCTCTCTGTAATCCTGGCTGCATGTTGTGTTGCCTGCATTGGCAACCGTGCATGCAACGTTCGCTTCTCATACTTTGAAAAGATTTGAATTTCTTACGTGTTTCAGAAAATAAAATTCAAGACTGGTTAATTGGCAGAAAGGAAATGGGGAAGGAGGCTGAAACGAGATGCAAGGCTATTCATGAATAAAATCTATAAAAGAAATAACCGAAAATCAACGCCCGGACGAAAGGGCTAAAGCTAAACATTTTCTTCTTGAAATTTTGCACGAGTATTAGTCTTGTTCCGTAGACGGCGTCACAGTGGCCGAAAAATTGCACGTGAGCTGAACATATTCAGCAAATATTAAAAAAATGAGTTCGGGGCAAAGCCATTGCCATTGAAATTCCAAAAAGTGTAAGAACTTACACTGCAACAGAAAGAAACCAGTAAAGAAAGTCTTAAAGTCGGGCGGGCCGACTTTATGATACTCTACACAACTTTGCTAATTTAGCAGAGCTCCGCATAACAATTATAAGTTTTTATGGGAGAATTCAATCATACACCCTATGATTATAATTGTAATTTAAAGTTCCAAGGACTAAATATGCCGAAGCATTTGTATCTTTTAAATTCGGACTTATATTGCCCATTTGGTGCACAATTAATTTGAAATCGGATAAAGATATATATGGGAGCTATATCCAAATCGGAACCGATCTTGATAAAATTAGGCAAAGATGTTTCTGAGCTGTATTTCATATATTTCCCTGAATATCGTAGTTACGGAGTGCATATTACGGCTGTGGGTAACAAATATGGCAAATCGGATGAACATATCTGAACCGATCTTCACCAAATTTGACATATTAGCTTCTACACTCAATTCGGTCGTAGGTGCCAAATTTCATACCATTTGGGCAAATATTGGACGTTTGGTGCACAATAAAAGGCAAATCGGAGAAAGATATATAATCGGAAAAAGATATAAAGAGCTATATCTAAATTTTGACCGATTATCTCCAATTTCAATAGGGTTCGTCCTTGGGCCAAACAAATGATTTGTGCAAAATTTCATGTGGATTGGGCAATAAATGCGAACTGTACTTTGTTCGCGAAAATACATGGACAGACGGACATGCATAAAT